TATAATGATTTAACACTATAACAATAAAAATATTTTTTAGAAAATTATATTTATAATTGAAAATTATAGTTCATTTAATTCATATCCAAATTGTACATAACATGAGTAAAACTACTGTTTAATAAATTTTTAGTATATTAACAACAAAAAACAACATTAATAATATTGAATTAATGTTTTTTATAAATATATATATATATATATATATATATATATCTGTACATTAATATTAAGTTTATTGTAACAATATTTTAATCCATCATCTAATTATAACATCAATCACATAATACAATTATATGAAAAATAATAATAACAATTATATTATATAATATATTTATAGTATTTATTTCATATATATATACTTGTATACTAGTAATTTGATTTATTAAAATTTTCAATTGAAAGCTTAAATGTTTTTTTTGTTGAAAATTTGTTAAACCAATGGAATTTATAATATTAGTTATTATATATAAATAAATATACAAATAATTAAGTATATATATAAAATTAATATATTTATAATTATTTGTTTGATATGACATACTTAGAAAAAATTATATATTAAATGTATATAAATATATTATATATTCAAATTAAAATAATTTTACATAACATAGTGCTTAATCCTTTTATTTATATTATTTTATTATAATATTATATCATACTATGTATTGATTTAATAATGAACTATTTTAAATGTTATATTATTATACTGTATAATAAAATAATTTTATTATTAGAAAACTTAACATAAATAATACTTATTAAAAAATAATAAAATACATAATCAATAATTTAAAATATATAATTAATTTTCTTAAACATTTTAATTGTGTGTGTTATACATTATAATTGTATATAAATTAAAAGTAAATGCTTTTCAAAAAAAATGTTAATTAATTTTAATCAATTGTTATTCTTGTATAAAAAAAATTATAGTTAAAAATTAGTGTAGCCATAAAATAAATGCTAAATACCTTTTAGCTATAATATAATTGAAGGTTATTTAATAATATATTTTTTTTTGGTGGGTACCAATATATATTTGGTGGGAAATACTATGATTTTTTCACATTTAAAAAACTATTAGTAAATTATTACATATATATATAATAATAATAAAGCATTGTTTTACAAAAATATAAGTTACAACTAGAGACTGAAAACTGACCTGATTTTTCAGGTCAGGTCAGGTCAGGTAAAAGTTAGGGCTCAGGTCAGGTCAGGTACGGGTCCGAACACCAAAATTTTTTGGTCAGGTCAGGTCAGGTCCGAAAATTTTTTATTCATTATTTAAACGACAATTATTACAAAATATGACAATCAAACACAAAATTTATTAAATTATTATTTATAAAATATTTGTATAAATTAAACATAAAATATTACAAAAGATGATGGTTTTGATCTAATAAATAATAACATATTAACTTTATTAGAATCTAAGTTAGATCTACTATCAGTTATCGTTAATCCCGAGTAATTAAAGTTAATTTAGAGAAATTTGTTGCGGGTATAGAATAAATAAAATTGTTTTTTGATAAAATTATTTTCGGACCTACATAGTCAGGTCAGGTCAGGTCAGGTAAATTTGTACCCTATGTTAGGTCAGGTCCGAGTCCGAGATTTTAGGTATCAGATCAGGTACGGGTCAGGTACGGGTCCGAAACTTTTCGCTCTCTAGTTACAACTATTAGACATTGTATCCGCAATTTTTTATTTTGTAAAAAATCAATTTTTGTTATTCAAATATTTTTGTTATTACACTAACTAACAATAGGATAGAAGTTTTAATGTTAATTTAGTTAACAACAAAAAAAATATTCATAATTTATATTTAAAAAACTTTTATATATCTAGAATTATTATCATTTTGATTTTATAAATAAATATTTTTTATTACACATATTATTTAATATTATTTGACATATATTAAATTTTAAAAAAAAATTATATACTGAATAAATATAAATTTATAATTTCTATATTCATATAACACTAATATTATTAAAAATTTGCATATTATATACTTTACATTCAAATATATTTTTAGTAAAATAATATAATTGTAAATAAACAAACAAAAATATGCTGTTTTGTATAGAGATTAAAAATTATTATTATATTTATTATTTTTATTATTTGACATTGAAATTAGTTCCGATATATTGACCTTACCATTAAATAATATATTTAACATATATATATAAAATATATTGTAATATACAACTCTATAAAAAAACATTTATATTACTATAAATTTATATTTTTATATTGTTTATAATTCATGAGATAAATATTATTATTATTATATTACATAAAAAACATATTTTATAAAATATTTATTACACAAAATCTTTTTTTTTGGGGTTTTCTGTACAATATTTTACTTTATAATATAGTATAATATTTTTTTCTACCGTAAAATATTGACCAAAATAAATATATTTAAAAACTATTATATTCGCCCAAACACAATGTTAAACAACAACAACAAAATTAAATCATTAAATTTAAATATATTTATTATATTCAGTATTTCTATCTGTATTTCCATAAATTATTTTTTAGATATATGTAAAACAATTGTAATTGTTTTGACAGCGCACCAGTCATCGATAGGACAATAATAATAATAATAATAAACAATATTTTTTATGATGATTTTTATTTTAAAAAATAATAATATTATTATTTATTAATATTTTTAACAACTAAAAAAATTCAAATCAAATTCATGAGTATATATAATGTATGCAAACAATACACTTTATGCCGTATTATATACAGTATATAAACATATTATTTATTAAATTCAAAATAATGCAAATTATATAATCTATTGTCATTTACTGTATTGTTTCTAAAAAAAGTCAACTTTTTTATTAGTAAAATAATAATAAAAATATTTATGTAAAAATATTATTCAAAAAAAATAATAAAACTATGCTATCATTTATGATAATTCATAACAACAAAAACTACTACTACTACTACTACTACTACTACTATAGTATAACTGTATAATACATTTAATGTACAAATATTACAATACTATCCAATATATATACTGTATATATAGTTTATATATTGCTTATTGTAGTTTATATTTATATACTGTATATATATTGATATATTAATGTAAACTTCAAACTTTAATTCATGATTATCAATAACTTTAGGCTCTTTTTTCTCAACAAATATATAATATATAATAATAATATAGTATTTTTTTTTAAAAATATATAATAATTTTATATATGTAGTTCTGTATATTAGTAATACTAATTGAAAATATGCACACATTTATGTCAATCCCTTAAACTAAAATTTATTTTAATTTTATATCATCAGTTATCATAATTTCTACTACAAATAATTTTTTTTTTTAAAATAAAGGTTACAAATTATATCTGACTTGAATACTTTATATATATAACATTAATACGATACAAACAGTTATATAATAATAATAATTATAATTATTATTATTACATTAAACTTAAACTTCAGTAGTAGTAGTAGTAGTAGTAGTAGTAGTAGTAGTAGTAGTAATCGATGGCTAAAACTAATGATGTATTTTGTTATTATTATTATTATTATTTAGCTTAAAAAACATTTACAGTATTTGGTTAATATAAATTAATTTTAAGCTAATTCAAATCAGTTTACAGTTAATTACCAAATAATTACAATTAGATGTATACATCATCAACAACAACAAAATTAACATAGATTTTAATCGGCAAAAAAGTATTGAATTATATGTATATATTTATATACTTTATATATATATAAATATCGATATATTGTATATACTGTATATCATTTTTAAAAAATCTAGTGTATCGTAATTATAGGTAAATACTCACCAAATCAACTAAAAGCCTACAGCAAATATATAACATTTTATACTAATGTATATATATATATATATAGTATATAATTATATATCATATATAACATATATATATATGAATTTTATATAACAGTTATATAATATATCGTATTAAAATAATACAGTTTTATTAAAAGAGTCCCCAAAATTTTTTAAATATATGTTTTTATCGATTTTATATCATCATAAAACTAGCAGTACCAATTATATATAAAATTATTAAAATTTTTCTAATATTAATAATAATAATAACTAATCGGAAGGTAAAAACACATTTTTTATTATAAATTATTTAATAATTTATAATTTACATATAAATATAATTATATTAAAAATAATTATAAGATTTTTATTGAAATTAAGCAATTTAGAAAATTATAATTTTTATTATAAAAAATATAATATATTTTGTTAATAATATGAAGTACAGTATAAATATTCAAATTAACAATAAAACCTTCAAAATTAATATTAAATTAATAAAATATTGTTTTATTTTATTTTTTGAATATTTTATTTTTTGATAATTGTAAATATATGGGGAATCAATAAAATAGCTATGATAATTTAGTTACTCATCTATAATTAATTATTACTTAAATTATATGCATATTCAATGATTATCAACCCATACATACTGTACATAACATAGAGTAATGATAACATTTCCTAATAAATCATCAAAAATTATTTTTCAAAAATTTTATGTATTAAATAATTAACTTATTATTATTATTATTATTATGAGTTTGCCTTGAAATTTTTTTTATTTGTCAAAAAAGTGGTTTTTAATGATTATAACAACAAATAATAATAATAATAACAAAACAACGCCAATGTATTTAAAAACAATCATTTATTCATCACATGTTTTACTACGAAAAATTAATAATAATTATAAAACAAAAGTTAATTTTATATATAAAAATTTTACTTTTATTAGAATATAGTGAATAAAATTGTTTAGTAACTAATATTAATAATTGTTTTCAATATATTTACAGTTTATTATAAAATTTAATATAACTTTTAATTTTGAGGACAATTTTTTATATATATATAATAATTTGTGATATGCTATCATTGTTTTTAATACAATTTTTAATACTAGTATTATTAATAAGTCAATCAAATGCTTTAATAGGTATTAATAATAATCATATTTAATAATATAAATTATACTAATATTTTGCAAATTATTTATGCTTTAGTTTTAATAAATTGAATTTTAAATTTTAATTTCTAATTATTTATTTCAAGTATTCAAAGAGTTAGAACTAAACAATGGTGTCAAGTGTCCAGTGGTTGGTTTGGGTAATAATGTTTGGGACAACCAATCGCTGGCCAAACAGATGATCTACGATGCCGTCGACATCGGCTACCGACACATTGATACGGCCGAGTACTATGAAAATGAACAATCAATTGGCGAAGCCGTCAACGATCTGATAGAAACGGGTCGTGTCCTCAGACAGGATCTGTTTGTTACCACTAAGATATTCTTCAAGAAATACCCGATTGATAACATAAAAGACGAAACAGTGTCGACAGTGGTTCAGTCGTTGAAACGTCTGAACTTGGATTATGTGGACCTAATGCTCATTCACTGGCCATCAGATAATATGACTGTAAATAGCGATATATGGAAAGGTTTGGAGGAAGTATTGGACAGACGACTGGTCCGAGCTATTGGTGTATCAAATTTCATGAAACATCATTTAGTGGATCTATTGAAGACAGCCAAAGTAGTACCACAGATGAATCAAATTGAAAGCAATCCGTTGAACAACAATCAACAGCTTATCGACTATTGTCAACAATCGGGTATTCAAGTGACCGCATACTCGCCACTCGGTAGAGGACGACTGGTCGACGATCCGACTGTCCAATCGGTGGCCACTAAACATAACAAAACCGGTAGTCAAGTGTTGATACGCTATCAACTACAGAAAGGTGTTGCGGCAATACCTAAGAGTACCAGAAAAGAGCGTATGTCTCAAAATCTACAGGTATTTGACTTTAGTCTAACCGAAGAGGATATGACTGTCCTAAACTCCATGTCCACTACCAATAATAGTAGTTCAAAACAATCATACAATTATATTAATAATTTTATCCTAATTTTCTTAATATTATTGCTTAATTATTATAAGCATATTATGTAGATTTAAACAAAAAATAATAATATTTTTTTTTATATAATAACTTATTTTTTTAATGCTAACATCAGTACTGTATATATTGATTATCCCATTAAATAAATATATATAAAATTATAGATTTTTTTTGTGTGTGTATGTGTAATGTAATGCCTTAATCTATTAAAATAAATTCCTATTTATAATTTGTTTGAAGTTTTTATATATATATAGTACAGTGTAATAATAATAATAATAATAATATTTATAAAAAAATTAAACTAACTATTAATATAATAACCAAATTGTGGATCAAATTAATAATTAATAAAGTTTCATGAAAAATTATAACTAAAAAAACTATAATATTTAAAAATGTTTTTATAATCAACAACAAAAACTTGAGATTTTTATAAATATTTTGATTAAAATTTTTAAATATTTTTGTTGTTGTTATTACAAAAGTAATGAACGAGTTTTTTATTATTTATATTTATTTGAAAATACCTGTTAGTCAAGTGTTATATAAGTGATTGAGTGCCAAAATATTGATGTAACAAAAAAAAAACTAAAAACAAATTTTTAAATATTTATTTCTATAGTTAAATAACTATATTTTTATTATTATAAATAATTATGACATAAATGTTTGTTTTGTTGTTGTTGTTGGAAAAGTAAACTATATTTAACAAATTTTATTTTTTAATTATTTTGTTTGTTTTGTTGAAATTAATATCAAAATTACTGATTATGTTAATATCTAAAAATTACCAATAATTAAACTTTTATTTTTTTTGTTGGCAAATTATATAGAAAATTAATTTGAAGAAAATTTCAAATTGCGAAATTTTAAACCATTTATAATTTTTTATTTATAAATATTTAACTATACTAAAAAAAATGTAATTTAGACCAAAAAAATATGATCTAAAAATATTTTTTTATTATTATTTTTTATTTAATATCATCATCACTGAACTTATAGTTAAATATTCTAATTAAATAAAAATATTTAAATAATTACAAAAATTATTTATAATATTAACATAAATTTTCAACAACAAAAAAAAAAGTTTAACAAATTATTATTAAATAATAAATATACAGTAAATCGATTAAAATTTTAGTTTATTAAAAATTATATTACAGTATATTCATATAAGCAAATAAAAATATAATATAATATATATCGATACAGCAATATATATAATGTTTATGAAAACTACAGTATTTTATAATTACATAAAATATATAAATATGAAATACATTACAAGTTATAATAAAAATTATTTTATATTAAACATATAAAATTATGTTATAAAGTTATATAACCAAGTTAATATTACTGAATATTGTATTTTTAAAAAATTGATTTAACTTTGAATGTCAATGATATAAATAATTGAATGCTTAAGTATATACTGCATATAAATATCTATATAAATATATTTAATATATTAGATTAGATACATAATTATTGATAATTAGTTTTATTTAAGTGCTTAGTGTACTTTATTATTATTATTAAATAATTTGCCAACAAATAAAAAAATACAACTAATATATGTACCACCAATGATATGCACCAATTAGTTAAGATATAATTTTAAATATATGTTATAAATGTTATATAAAAAAATCTTATATATTATGTACTTATATGCGATCTCATGGTTGGCCTCCTCTATGGGTATATCACTATTAGAGAAATAATTTTATTTTATTATATTATTAGATATAACTTTATATATTAATATTAAATAATGAGTACAACTGAGTGCTCATTTGACATTTGAATTTAATAATAATAATAATAACCAAGGGTGAACTATATTAAAAATATAATATTTTATGTTTTTAATTAAATATTTTCAAATAAATTTTTAATAAATTATAATAATTATTTTTTAAACGCATTTAATATTAAAAATAAAATTTGTTATTTTTTGATGAAACTACTATTACGATAATAATTTTAAAAAAATCAAAATTGATTTTATTTAGTAATTTAATCAAACAACTATTATTTCAAATTAAACAATAAATTACAGTTAAATTAAATTATATATATATATAGATATTTAAATTTAATTTTATCTAAACTCCACAAATTAGATGATACATCTATTAGATAATTATTAATATTTATTTTTTTTAAAAACATTAATAAGTTTACTATAAAAATAAAATACAGGTATAAATTGTCTAATAATATTAAAACAATTTTTTATAATAATTTTTATAACAATTGATTTTATTTATTAATAATAAAACAAATTTTAATTGAATTACCTGGTGATACCCTTAATGTTAAATAATTTGTTAATACTTATATAAACTTTTTGTTATACTTTAGATAAAACATATTATATTTGATATACATATATAAATGAAATGCACTGTTAAGTTAGTGTTTAATACAATATTATAAACTATCTGTATATATTGAGAGAGACTGTACCCTTAAAAAATGTTTCAATTTGTTTGTCACTTATAAATACAGTATTGTAACTTACAATACAGTACTAGTTGTTATACTGTAATAAATTATTTAAAAATATTATATTTGAAGACAACTACAGTATATATTTGTTTTTGGACAAAGAGGTCATTGTTTTTTGTTTATTCAATTAAATCAATACATTTTGATATCATTTTTATATATAAGTTTGCGATTATCAGTGAATTATATTAATAGTATTAATATTAGTATTTAAAAAAATAGCCAATAGTTAGCTATTTATACTATAGCTGTAGTGCATGTGTTGTGTGTTGTTATACTAGTATTTGTTTTTGTTGTTTACATTATATACAGTATATCCCTATTAGTTGTCAGTTTTATAACTTAATGGCAGTCCATCAGTGGTTAGGGTTGTCGTCCTTGTCGTCATCGTCTTTGTTGTCGTCGTCATCACCACTGATCCAATCATTCATATCCTGTCTCTTCTATTTGATGATCGTATTCTGTATTTTGCAAACATTTTATCCGATATTTATGATCATAAATATGTGGCTGAGGAGGGCTAATGTCTTTTACCACTACTTTCATAAGGTATACATACATAACAACAGCAATGATGATGACAACTATCACCACCAATACATCCCACTGTTGTCTAATGTTTACACAACTAATTATGTCTTTGTTTTTTTTGTGTATTGTTTGTTTGTTTGTCACTTATTGGCAATGAATAGGTGGACGAAAAAAGTTTACGTCACGGCGGCGAACTGGTGGCCAAAGTTTTGCAATCGCATGGCGTCGAACATATCTTTACCTTATCCGGCGGACACATTGCACCCATACTGACTGCATCGGAAAAACTTGGTATTCGTGTAGTGGACACACGACACGAAGTGACTGCAGTGTTTGCCGCCGATGCTACTGCTCGCCTGTCGGGCATACCGGGCGTTGCCGTTGTAACCGCTGGTCCAGGGGTTACCAATACAGTGACGGCCGTGAAAAATGCACAAATGGCCGAATCGCCGATCATAGTGTTGGGCGGCGCCGCCGCTTCCTTACTCAAAGGCAGGGGTGCCCTTCAAGACATCGACCAAATGTATAGTTAAACGATTTACTACTACTACTGTACCACTGATCTCAACTAACCCCGATATGTGACCAACTTAATAGCTAACTAATTGTTTTTACCGGTAATTTACAGTTCACTGTTCAAACCGATCACAAAAATGGCCATTACTATCACCAGCGTCCGTGACATTGTTCCCAAACTACGCGAAGCATTCAGAGTTGCCCAGAGCGGTACACCCGGACCCGTATTTGTCGAACTGCCCGTCGATGTACTCTATCCGTATCAGATCATCAAGAAAGAGATTATGTCCCGTTCATCCAACAAACGACTAGTGGGCAAAGTTATCAATTGGTATACGAAAAACTATTTGCAGAATCTATTTGCCGGTGCCTTCGACCAGGACCAGCCAACACACCCGGTTCCCGTTGATGTACCGTTTCCTAGCAAATCCCAGATTGCCAGTGCTCTAGAATTGTTATCGAAAGCCAAAAAACCGCTTATCATATTAGCTTCGCAGTCAGTACTGCCGCCAATCGGTGCTGAAAAGCTTAGGGCTGCCATTGAAGTGAGTATTGTTTTTGTTGTGTTTATGATTGATTGATTGATTGAAATTTTATTTTTGCACCACCACTTGCTTAGTCTCTGGGAATACCCGTTTATTTGGGTGGTATGGCCCGCGGACTACTGGGAAAGTCGTCGCCAATCCAAATGAAACAATGTCGAGGCGAAGCGCTGCGCGAAGCGGACGTCGTAATATTCGGCGGCGGTGTAGCCGACTTTCGTCTAACCTATGGCCGTACGTTCTCGAAGAAGTCGAAAATAATTGCCATCAATCGAAATAAGGAACAATTGTACAAAAATTCAAAGATTTTTTGGAATCCGGCACTGGCCATCCAGGCCGATGCCGCACAGTTTATGGTCGAATTGTCCCAACAACTGGCCGGTAGTGGCGGTTTCAATGTAGACCCCGATTGGATCAATACGCTACGCGATCGGGAAACTCAGAAAGAGCAGAACGCCCGACAAATGGCCGAAAACATTCCCGACGAACACTTGAATCCGTTAAAAGTAATGAACAAAATATAATTTAGATTTAGATATAATTTTTTGATTAAATTTTTTTTTGATTTAAATTCATAGGTTTTGCACGATTTAGACAAATCATTAGATGATAATACTATTATTGTTGCCGACGGCGGCGATTTTGTCGGTTCAGCCGCTTACGTACTCCGTCCCAGAGGACCACTGCGTTGGCTGGACCCCGGAGCGTTCGGTACGCTCGGTGTTGGCGCCGGCTTCGCTATCGGTGCCAAACTATGCCGTCCAGACTCGGATGTTGTGGTCGTTTTTGGTGACGGATCGCTCGGCTATTCGCTCATCGAGTTCGACACATTTGTCAGACATAAAGTAATGCGGTTTTTTTGTTGTTATTTTTTATATAATTTATTTTGATTATTATTATTATTATTATTATTATTTAGTTACCAATAATAGCAGTGGTCGGCAACGATGCCTGTTGGACACAGATAGCCCGCGAACAGAAGCCAATGTTGGGCGCCGATACCGCATGCAATCTGGCCTACAGTGACTATCATAAAGCAGTTGAGGGTTTGGGCGCCCGAGGAATGGTATTAGGAGCCGATGATAGAGATCGCCTACAGGAAGCATTTGAAGAGGCCAAAACGGCTAGCCGTAGTGGACAACCATTTCTACTCAACGTATTGATCGGTAAATCTAAGTTCCGAGATGGAAGCATTTCGGTCTAATAAAAATCAGTTTCGGTTTAATTTCGGTTTAAAAAATAATCAAATTATACTGTATTTAAGTTAAAAAGGGATTTTATATTTTTATATATTTAATATACTTTATTTAAATGGTATTTTTTGAAGTGCAATTGTTTTTTTGAAATATTTAATTTTGATGCAATTTGATTTATTATTTATTATTATTTTTTTGGTCGATATAAAATAAATTTTTATTATAATAAAATGGTAATTACAGATAAATTATTTGTTTTTTACTATTATTATAAATGTTTGTATAATTATTTACCAGTAATTAATTGCATTACAGTTTATATAATAATACATTTATTTTATTTTAAATATCATTGATAAAATGTTATAAAAGTAGTTATTATTATTTGGTTATAGTAAACAATTGTATAATTAAATAATACAAATACGGTAATATTTTCTTTAAAAAAATTAATAATAATTTATTTAACATGGTTTCAAATTAAATATAGATATTATCACATAATAAATATCTTTAGTACTGTAATATATTAATTGTTACATTAAAAAAGTAGATATATAAAATAATTTTTAAAAATACATTGATAATAATTTATAGTAAATCAAATTTATAATTAAATTTATAAATTTATATTGAAATATATTTCAAATAATTGATATATATAATAATATATACTGTAAAATTATGTTAAATAATTAATATTACCGGTATTTTTTAAAGTTATGACTTAAATATTGATATACTGATACATATTACCGTAATAATAATAATAGCAATAGTGTAGTATTGATTTAACATTAGGAGATATGATGATTAATAATAATAATTATTATATAATTAATTAATACATTAATATAATATAGTGGTATATTAATGTAATAAATCATTATATTAGTGATATGATTATATATGATAAAAAATATGCAAAAAAATACTTTATTATTGTTGGAGATAATAAATCAATTATTATTTTCTAACTTTGAAAATCATTATTGATATCAATAATAATATTAATATCCAAACCAATGGTATTGCTAGACTAAGTTGAACAGTAGTATAGGATAGATCCCATCCTCTCGATATGATAGATCTCAAACCATTACCGGCAATAGATTGCGGCAACAATTTGGATACCAGTGCGGCCGCCGGTGGCATACATTGAATTGGCCAGAATGTACCACACATAGTGACGGCCAACGAAAATGTGGACAACCATATGATAATGGCATAGACTTCGCTAGTGCATACCGAAGCTATAGCTATACTATAGCTCAGGCCGGTTACGCCCTGAATCATAAGCAATAGATAAACCAGATATACTGATCCCGTTAAATGCATATCAAATACACTGAACGTGACAAACATAATGAAACTAATTTGCAAACATAGTATCAATAGATGAATGAGTAGATGGGCTAAAATAATTTCCGATACCCGAACACCGGCCAATGTCGACCGCTCTAATTGTTGGTTACGGCGTTCCTGGATAAGTGTCAGACCCGGGAACAGTGTGGACGACAAAAATATTACGGCAATGATTATGCCCGGTGTTATAAACTCGGACATCTCGGCCTCCGACGGACCGTAAACATTGGGATCGACTATCTGTAGTGGTGTCGAGTATCCGTCGTTCATATCTGTGGATCGGTTTTTAGCCTTTTTCAGTGCCAGTATTACCTGTGTTTTGATGGCACCGCTAATTAAGAGATTGCTATTATCCATATATAAATCAATTGTTGTCAATAGTTTTAGTTTCGGTTCTTCATCTATTATCTCATAGTCGTTGTCGTTGTCATCATCACCGGCTGTATTATCAATCTCTTTACTATTGTTGTTGTTGTTGTTGGTAATGGTGTTGTTGTCTATCGTAGACGACATCATGTCATCCATAATCTCCAGATCTCCGATTGATCTATTAGTTTGTCTTTTATTATCATCAATCGATTCGTTGTCATTCTTGTGTCGGACGATATGTTTGGTGTCGACAATCGATTCTTCGGCAGTGGTCTCGTCATCGCCACCGTTGTTGTCGTCATCGCCATCGCCGACGATATCAATTTCTGTTAGGTCTTCACCTGATTCACATCCCTATGAATTAATCCACAAAAAAATTATTATTATTAACTATAATTAACTTTTATTTTGTGTATTAAAAAAAATATCTGTCAAATAAATACACTTAATGTTTAATGTTAATCAAAATATTTAATCATTTTAAATAATATATATTTATATAAGATATTAGTAAAGGGATAAAATGTCAAAAAATAAATATAATATGATATGATTTTTATTTAAGTCAAAAACGCCCTGAAGTCATAATTTTATATGAAATATATAAAAAAAAATTTTGCAATTTTTTTTGTTGTACGTGACCTTTTTGCTGTATTTATTTAATTATTATTAAAATATATTGATAGTGAAATGAGTGAATTTTTTTTTAAAAAAAATATACAAATCAAAATGTTAACAACATTTTTGCATATACTGTATTAAATAATTTTTTTTTGGTTTTTAATTTGATAAATATTTAGATATATAATATAATATATTTACTGTATATACTTATACTTTATTATACGATATTAACTTAAATGAGTTTAATTTCAATTGATAACCTTAAATATTGTTAATTATATTATATATAAATATTTACTTATATACAGTAATTTATTTAAATGCAACGACAAAAAGTTTACTAATATTATTATTTATGATATAAATTATTTAATATAATTATTAGATGTTTTTTAAATGCTTAAAACTACATGTATTTGTATACAATTTTTTAAAAAAATACTATCATCTGATAAAATATGCGATAGTTTTTTGTTTAATTCATATATTTTTAATAGCAAAAAAAAGTAATTATAATATTTATTTATTTTATGTATTAAAAATGTTACCCATATTTTATGTCAATTGTAATTTAAGTAAGAAAAAAATTATATTATTTTTCATTTCATTGATGGGAGAGTTTTTCGGTTTTGTTATTTTATTTTAAATAAAAAATATTACATAAAAATTAAGTTTATTTTTATGCTATGATTTCCTTGTCATTTTTATTTTAGAAAAATCATTAAAAAAAATTTTCGTAATAATAAAAAAATTTAGACATTAGTCCTAATCGATAATTATTTAACTGTGCTAACCTATTAAAAAAAATTATTAAATTTTTTACAATGAAAATAATTGTTATATATATATATATATTTTCTAATAAAAAAAAATCATTGAATTGTAAATACAGTTAAAAAAAATTATAAAAAAATATTTATCACCAAATAAAATCACATAACTTGCAACTTATATATACAGTATATATATATATATATATAAAGTTTTCACATTTTATAAATTAAATTTTAAAATAATTATTATATCATAAATTCTAATCTTGAGAAACGCTAAAGCAATACAAATGAAAAATAAATTGTAATTATATATTATATATCATTATATATATATATATATAATATTTTGTAAGTATTAGTCATTATATTAATTTTAATTTAAGTAAATAAAAAAAAGTCATTGAAATACCACAATTATAAATTAATAAAAATAAAAAATAAATGCTAAAAATAATTTTAAAGCTAATACGCCAATAATAAAAATTATTATTCAAAACATTTGTCAGTTATCTATGTGTGTATATTAATAGAAATAATAAATTTATTTTACGTAAATTGCTTTTATTTTTTTAACTGATTTAATTGATAGAGATTTTTTTAAATAAAAAACAAAAACAAAATAAAAAATGCCTTTTTTGATAACTAAATTATTTTTCAACAACAAAAAATTAAATAATATTAAATTATTTCTGAGTCTAACAAAATATTATACAGTTATATATAAATTATAAATAAAGTTTCTAATAAAATGCATTTACTATGAAATACTAATATATCAATAAATTATTAATAATGTATATATTTACCAAAATTAAACTATAAATTTGTTTAAAAATGTTTTTTATAGAAAAATTATCCAAAAAAAACTTTATTTTCACTTTTAATAGAATTAATTAAATCTATTTTTTTGGTTACTAATTTATAATTAATAAATATATTAAAAAAATTATACATTAGCCTCTCTAATATCATTAATAATATTATCAATTATTTAGATTTTATAAAAATTAAATACAATATACAAACTAAACTAAATTAAAAAAAACATAACAAACATTACCTGCGATGATCTGTGAAGCATAGATCGGGTATAGTTGTGTGGAAACGATAGCATAGCCCAGACATGATTATGACGGACGGCTTCGTAGGCCGACTCAAACGTGTCGTATTCAATCAATTGAATCACTTTCTGATTGAAACTCTTGAGTATAATATCGCTGACAAACGACGGCCGATCAGGATTGTAGACACCGACGGGTATGTCGTATGGATTTTTGCCAATACAGGCACAAAACAGGCTGACAGCCAGTGCCGGGTATAGTAAGTAAAACATAAGAAACCATTTGTTTCGCATCTGTTGTTTCAGATTCTTGTAATAGAGAGCTGATATACGTTTAGTGGTAACTGATTTACTGATCCATCCACTCCTAAAGCCACTATCACTACCACTTTGACCGTCAATGTCGTCGTCTGTGGTCACATAGAGTGATGTTTGACTTTCGGTAACTTCTTCTTTGGCATCAAATACTTCTTCTTCTTTACTAATGTTGTTTTGATCCTGAATTGTGGTAATACTTGTAGTTGTCGTCACTGATAGACAACTTGTTCCGCAAAACTTGTTGTCAATGAGATGTTGTTGTTGTTGTTGTTTATTGAAAAACAATTTATCAAACATATCATCGACTGAAGCAAAATCATTAGCAAAATGTTTGGGTACCGACTCTTCAACGAGTTGTCCATCTCGTCCGACCAGTGCCACAGTGTCGGCATATTTTGATTCGTCAATGTGTCTACTAGTGGCTACTATCGTAACCTTTTCGGTTAGACAGAGATGCCGGAGCTGTTGCCAAATGGATCGCTTGAGCCACGGATCGCAATGTCTTGTAGGCTCATCCATGAGCAGCAATCGAGGCGAATGTAGTACCGTTATGGCCAACGATACGACTACTTTGTCATTAGTGGTCAGTTGTCTAATTAATGTACTCTTTTTGTTGTTGTTGTTTGTCGTCGACGAAATCGAGTCAACCAAATAGTCAATCTTTGTTTGGACCAACTCCTGAGGCAATTGGTAAAGTTGGCCAAAATATTTCATTATCTCTTCGACAGTTAATCCATCATAAAGTGATAATTTTTGTGGCATATATCCAATAGATCTGTAAATTTCTTGTTGTCGTTGTTGTTGTTGTGAACAATCTTCGCCAAACACTTCAATCTTGCCGTTTGATGGTCTAATCAGACCAGCAATACATTGAAGTATCAATGTTTTGCCGCTACCTTTTGGTCCGACAATTGATAAGATGTTTGCTTTGGGAACCGTTAGGTTTAGACCAACCAATAATGGCGTTTGTCTGTAGAAACCGACTTCAATGTCAGTCAATTGGACAGCAATTTGGTGTTTCAATTGATTTAAATTATTATTATTATTATTATTATTATTAATTTTGTCGACAATAATACTTTTGTAGTTTTTATCAGAGACATTGACAACTATATCATCCATTGTGTCACTAATAATATCATTGGTTTCATCTGATGATGATTTCAGATCCATATTTTTCTCATATAATGTATATATATTTTAAAAATTTATTTATATAACAAATTATATTATTAATATTATCATTATCATTGTGTTAATATTTTTTTATAAGCATTTATTAACTTTAATAAGCATTTTTGGTATTAAATAAAATTGATATAATATTGTTATTTATTTATTTTTTGGATAAATAACATGTTTTTTTAGTTGATTCGTATAAATGATATTTGATTTACTTTTAGACTAAAGTCACAAATAATTATTGTTTAAAATATATCAATTGATTTATATGTTGCAAAACAATTATATTGATAATTTAATGTGTTGTTGTAGTAGCAGAAAAATTAATTGCTATTTAATTTCTAATTGTATTGAACAACAACCAAAAACTATTTATATTTTATAAACTATAAACACATTATTAATTAATTAGACACAACACAATCAAAAAAAGTTTTAGTATTTTAAAACAATATAATAATTAAGTTTTTTTTAAACAACAAATTAAATAACCTTTTAATATATATATATATATATATATATATATATATATATATATATATATATATATATATATATATATAAATAACAATATAAATACTTTTTTTAAAAAAAAAATTAATAATTGTTGTGTTGTGTGTTCACCACCAAAATTGCTAATCAAATATTATAAAACTTGTTGAGAAAATCACTTTTTATATTTTATATGAGTTGTTTTGGAGAGAAAAAATAATAATAAAATAAATACTAAATCAAGTAATAATAATAATAATACTAAATGACATTCAAAAGTTTTGATGCACTGTTTTAGTTGCATTTAGTTGTGTCTCATATATGTGTATAATATTTATAATAATAATGTTTTTAAAAGTATAAATGTTTTTTTATCTGTAATATATTTCTACAATAAAATTTATACTGCAGTTTATAATGTATTTTTTATATTATATGATATGACACATACATGTACTGTATATATACAGTATTATATATAAGTTACGGTATAATTTTCCTATAAGGAGAATTAACCAGCAAATCAACACAACGATTCACTAACTATCGGTGCCCGGAGGGTACATACACTTCAATAACGTAATGTCCACATTACATAAATATTATATATATATATATATATATTATAACATAAAATTCATTAACAATTAAAATAAAAGTGAGAGAGAGAGAGAGGCGTTGATTTCTCAAAAAAAATGATTAGTATTTTTAAAAAATCAATTTTATCTAAACTAAAATATTGTAAATAACATCTATTTGTTATAACTTTTTTATGTAAACTATTATGATATCTTTTTTTAATATAACTTATAATATTATTATATTATTTGTTACTTAGTATTAAACAATATACTTTTTATTATTATTATAAAATAAAATTAAAACATTGCTTATATGTTATTTATTATTTAAATAAAATTTTTATTATATATATATTTATATTAATAGTATCAATATAATATACTAAATGTTTGTATTTATTATTTTTTAAATAACATATTTTAATCGCAATTTTGTTTTCACAATTAGATAACTGTTTTTATTTCAAATATATCGTATAAATTAAAAATTAAAAATTAAAAAATAAACAAGTAATTAGTTTTAAGTATATATATGTATTATAAAATTAATTATACAAATTTCTTATATGATTTTATTTATCATAAAGTTTAATTAACATACTATAGGTTATAAATTAGTAATTTTTTACATTTAATTATAAATAAAATATTAATTAGTCTATTGTTTTGTTGATTTATATTAATTACTATTACTATTGCAGATAGAAAATATGTTTACAATAAAAACTAATAAATAACAATATTTTACAAAGTGGATGGTGATGATGAGCACTGGTAGATTATTGTTTGATCATCAATTCATATATGCTACCTGTCCTTGTCCTTGATTTTTTGTTTGAAAAAAAGTCTCATCATTTTTATTCAAAAAATATTTACCTAATATTAATATTATTATTATTACCGGTATTATTATTATTTTATTTGCTAACAAATTAATTTTTAAGTTTTACAACAAAAAAATATTTACCAATTTAACTCTCTCTCTCTCTCTCTCTCTCTCTCTCTCTCTCTCTCTCTCTCTCTCTCTCTCTCTCTCTCTCTCTCTCTCTCTCTCTCTCTCTCTTATCTCTCAGAAAAATAGTTGAGTATTTTCATAGTTAGTGACTATTAATACTAAAAATATACAGCAATCTATTGAAAGGACAGGTATGCGATTGAATTGAAAGGTATGTTAAGAGAGTTGAAAGTGAAATCAATCAAATTATATGCTGAAGTGTGTGACTGAAGTTTATATATATATATATATGTTTTACTGTATGTTTGTGTGTTATTATTATTATTAATATTGTATGATTTGAATATACAATATGAATAGCACTTCACAACAGTTGACAAACATAATTATATATATATTTAAAAAATAAAAAATAAAAATATTTATCACAAAAATATAATTTCATGTATGATATTAATAAAAAAAATAATGTACTAAACAATATAAATATAAATTAATGAATTATTTTTTATTAGTTTGTATTTATTTAGCTAAATGATTTACTGTTAACAATAATAATAATAAAAAATAAAATTGTAGAAAAAGTTTCATAAAAAACAAATGAATATTTTATTATTTATTTTTTCTTAATTACCATTGTTTTAGTCATTTTAGCGTATATTTAATAAACTTAGTTTTTTTCTTATTAAACTATAATATATTTGTTTTATTTTATAAACTATATATTATATAATCTTTATTAAAATTATGAAATAACAATAGTTTGAAATTAAATGTTAATATAGTATTAAATATAATAAGTTTTAGTAAATTATTTATATAATTAATCATAATCGTATTGTTTTATAATAGACACCACATTAATATGTAAATATAATTTGATTTATTTAATTTCTTTTATAACTATTACACAATTATAATATATAAATTATTTTAAATTTTTTTTTGGTTAAAACTTTTAGTAAACATATCAAAATAATTAATAATAAAACATCAATTGAATTGCTTATGTAATAAAATAAAGCCTAAATAATCTAAATTTAAATCAATAATAATAATAATATTAACACTAATAATATAATGATAATTATATACAATTAAATATTACCCACAAAAAAATAAATGTTAATCAAATTTATATATTAATATTTTTGCATACATTTTTGTTATTTATTACGGGACTACTAAACAATATTAATAAAATAAAAAATTTATTTAAATCAGTTAATAAATTTTGATAAAAACAATCTGACATCTAATATGTCAAAACAAATGATTAAAACAGATTATGAAACAAATTATAAAACCCTTTACGCAAAAAATTATCAAAAATCTAATATTTTAAATAATTAAATAAATAAACAATTTTTGTTGTTGATAATTTTAGTTATATTTTCAGCAATAATTTTCATTACATTAAGTTTATTAAAGTAATAAAAAATTATTATCTTAACCTCAAATATGTATCAAAATATTATAATTTCTATATTTTCAATCAAAAGTTTATTATTTTTTGTTTCATAAATATCAATGTTTATATACAGTATATAATTAAGTATTTTATTATTATCATTATTATACGCTATTGTTGATAATTGTTGTATAATTCACACAATTTATCCTTTTTTTTTTGTTTATCATAGAAACAAAATAATAATTTTTAAAAAATATCACATTCAAGGTGTGAAAAATTCAATTATATTTGAAATAAAATTTATATCCAATAGTCAAATTCACACTTTTTATACACTAACTACTTAATGCATTAATAATTTTTAATAAATATTATTATTATTATTAATATTATATAATAATATAACAGATAACTGTAACATTGCTTGTTTGTTATTTATCATCAGTATCTGATAAATCGATTGATTATATCATATCTGAATCAATTAATCTAATAATAAAAATATATTATATATATATATATTAATTAAAGTAACAGTTTATCGAATTATTATTTTAGTATATATAATACAATCTAAAAATTTATTTTATCGTCAATGATTATATAGAAAATTTTTATTAAATATATAATTTAATATATATATATATATTTATATGATATATATACAGTGTGTTATATGTATGTTACCATGTACAGTATTTTTACAGTTTTTTTTATTTGATATATGTTGACTTTAACAATCTAGATTTTTATGATTATAAATTTAAAAAATAAATAAATAGTATCATATACTTACGTCAATTCTATGATTACTAAATGTCCATCATTTATATGTAAAATCATATATTTAATATATATATATATTCTATAGTATTTACAATTTTAATTTTAAAAAATTAAAAAAATTTATCTAGTAATTATTTTTGTGACTATACATTATTTTGAAATTATATATTTAATATTTTTTATAGAAAATTGATAATAGCTAATTAATTTCATTAAAAAATCTATGTTTTTTGGATAATTTGTCCAGTAATTTATTATTATAATTTTGACAATTCTAGTTATAAAAAAATTAACAGTTACTTTACAATATTACTGTACTAACTATTTTGGATAATTAATTGCCAACAAACCTACGTAAAAAAGCAATATATCATTGTATATATAATACGTACAGTTAGATAGTAGTATTAAGGATTCAATCAGCAATAAATTTTTTTAACAATAAATTAGTGAATAATTTTTTAATCAATTTACAACACAACAACAAAATCCTTCAAATAATTTGCAACGTTTTTTTTATTCAATAAATTTTTGTATTTTATCAAAAAAAATGTGATACAGTAGTACTATAACCGAAATACTATTACTACTGGTATTAGATAACATCACTTATTTGTATTCATATAACTCCTTATATTTAAAAAAAACTAAATAAATATTTTGTAATACAAGGCTTTAAAATAATAGTAGGAAACCGTAAAAACCTAACGTCACTAACCCACTGTATGTCATATTATTAGTATTTTTTTATTAGTATTATTATTATGTAAAAATTGTTATATTTTTATTACTCAATAGCATAGAAAATTGGAAAACTCTCTCTCTCTCTCTCTCTCTCTCTCTCTCTCTCTCTCTCTCTCTCTCTCTCTCTCTTTCTCTTAAAATAAAATCAATGATACAAACAATATATTAAAATATATAATAAAATGCTATTGAATTTCAATGACACCGATTATTAGTTAGTCATTTAATGTAATAATAAAAAAAGATTTTATTACATTTTCATCGGACATATCATTATAATACACCAAAGTTTGTTTAATTGATTTTTTATATTAAATTTTATTGATTATTTTTATTTGAAACTTTTCCAAGTATATTAGTTAGGATTTTATTTAAAAGTTAATAAAATCCCATTAAATTGCAAATTAAAATTAAAAATTATATTGAAAATTTTTATTATAGCTACTGTATGTGATTCATAATAAATATTAAATGCATAAAACTATTTAATAATTTAGATAACTATAGTTATTAAAGTCTATGTCATAGTTTGGCCTTTTACTTAAAAATTATATTTTGTTTATAAATAAATATATTAAAAAACAAGTCAAAAAAATAATTTTATTTTAGTATTTATAATATTTATTAAATTTTTATTAATATCAAACAATTCGTAATTTTTTAAAACTTGTATTAACGTAAACTGTAAGTAAACTGTAATTTATAAACTTATAAGATATCTATTATGTATTTATAAAATTAAATAGATACTAGTAAATTGATATATTAATACAAGATTAATTAAAATAATTCAATGATATGATAATATAAAACATAAATTAAATTTATGATAATATAAATAATATCAATTATTAATAATTATTAAATAATTCATATTACTAAATTCTGTCTAAATATGATAAATGCTTTTGTATATTATTAAAGTGATTTAATTATTTATCATTAGTGATAAAAACACATATGAATAATATATTTATTTATATCAATATATTGTAAATCTGTACAAAAAAAATTAAAAGTAATGGCTTTTTATGACAACATTATTTTAGGAAATGACACTTTTGTCGAAAATAACAAATACATTATAATATTAATACTATTATTATATGGGAGCGGATCCGGAGCTCACGTCCGGACATATAATAAATTAATATAATATATGTGTTAACAACAAATCATATAATCATTTTTATTTATGTGAAACACACAAATCATTGCCTATCAAACAAACAAACAAAAATTATACTAAAAAATATATATTTAACATAATAATATGTTTTGTGAATTAATTATAAAATAATGTTTAATCAATGATATATATATATATATATAGAAAAATTAATTAATACTAATAATAATGGGCAATAAAGTGGTTAAATCTAAGAAAAACAATATCAATAGTCCTCAAGACAACAATAATCGCAATAATAATATTATTAGTAATAATAATACTTTGATAAAACCAAGTGACAAAAAACAAAATCAATGGCCAATTATCAATAAACCAAAGATATACGGCTCAAATGGTAGTAGTGGTATACAACCGCCGCCCCAACAAATCATACGTTTGGTGTCCAATGGCCAGCCATCATCGGCAATTGTGACGCCTGGCGGCAATAGTCCAATACCCAACACACTTGTTGGTGGTGTCAATACAGTAACAATGGTCGACAATACTACTACTACTAATAATAATATAGTGATTGCAATGTACGCCTATGAGGCCGAACACGACGGCGACATCAGCTTCGGTAAGGGCGACAAACTGGAAGTAATTGAAAAAAGCGATCCCGACTGGTGGACAGTTAGACGGCTGGAAACGGGCGAAATAGGCTATATTCCGGCCAATTATGTCGCCGCCACTGTCATTGAATCAGAAGAGTAAGACTCTCTCTTTCTCTCTCTTTATATATATATATATATATATCTTTAAGAGTTGGGATCTTAAATATCTAACTAAAAAATATTTCAACATTTATATCATAAAATCGTGCTTTTTTGTGATACAATTGATTATAACAATTATTATATATTAGTACATGTATTTATAAATCATATAATATAATAATTTATTTTCTTTAAAAAAAGTAAAATTGAAAAAAGTATAATTGATAATTAAATATTCATTATTGATTTGCTTATTATGATATTATTTGGAAAAAAATAATTAATAACTTATAATAATAATAATAAGCATATAAATAAACATTATGTATGTATATGTGAGATATAGCCATGAAAGAGATAATTATAAAATTTATTTAAATATAATTTTTTTTACTTATATCATAATACAATAATTATTACCTTGACTTATATGTCATATTATTATCATTTCAATTTTTGATTTTGTTTTAGAAAATAACTAAAAGAAAAAAAAATTAATCAATTGTTTTACATTTCTTAATAGTATAAGAAAAATATAATATATTAATCATTAATAATAATTATTGTTTATTAACCTTAAATTATTATATTCAATATACAATATACGAATGTCTTATAACAATAATGTAAAATATTAACTCTCAAACTAATACTACTAGTAGTGTATAATAACAATAAATAATATAATTAGTAAAATATATAAATATTGAAGTCATGGCTCTATATATTTGCGACAAATTAATAAAACAAAATTTTTTTTCAAGAAAAATATTTAGCAAATAGTAATCAATCAAAATATAAAAATTTAAATTATTATTTACTATCATACCTTTAATGGTATTATTAGTAAATATATAAATTGTATACAAAATAGTTAATAAAAAAGTGAATCTAATAATAATAATAATAACAATGATATTTATTAGTAATTTTCAAAAACAAACAAAAAAAACTAAATAATCTATTTTTTTGTTGTCTTCTATGAATCAGTTGGTACTACGGGTGCATTGGGAGGCGTGCGGCCGAAAAATTATTATTATATGGGGACTATCCTATCGGCACTTTCCTAATCAGACTGAGCGAACACAACACTCCCAACACATTAAGTATTATAAAAAAATGAATTATTTTTTTTATTATAATTTAATTTAATAGTATTTAAATATATTGTATATAATATTTTACATACAGTCACTTAAAATATAAAAACAAAATCTCATTGTTTTCTCTCTCCTTGATAATCATAAAAAAATAATTAGTTAAATAATTATGTTATTAACATAATATAAGCATTTTTTACAATAATATAGTTAATTATTTATTAATAATATAAATATTTGTATTCATTTATTTTAGATTCTTTATTTAGATAAGATATTTGTTTACACTATTTATTTATTTTAATAATAATTTTTTAAAAATATTATTAATTATAAGTACTTATAGAAATAATAACTACTTAATGTCATGTATTATACTTAAATTGCTTAAAGCATTAACTGATTAATAAAAAAAATTTACTAATAATAATAATTATTATATGATAATAATATCCGATATTATTGTTATTATTATTCAGTAATTATTATAAAAGTATTGTATGTTATATTTAAGGACAAGTATTACAAATCAATACAAAAAAATATATAATTAATTATATTAATCTAATCTATCGATTTAATAAAAATTTGTTGTTTAAAATGATAACAACAAATCATTAATCATTTAAATATTACAATATAATATTATATTATACATATATAATGATATAATAAAATAACTAAAATTTAGGAAAAAACAATAAAAATTTAATACTAATTATTATTTAAATAAAAAAAATCTTTTTTTAAGAGTCGTTTGCATTGTCCATACGTGACTTTGATCCACTTGTGGTGACAAACAAACATAATGTTAAACACTATCAGATAAAAGAGTCGCCAAACGGTACGTTCACAATGGCCAACCGTGAGTTCCGATATCTGCAGGATATCGTCAAGTTTTACAGTACACATCCGGGCGGACTATGTCATCCGCTGGTCAGGCCGTGTCCCAAACCGTTACCGGGTATACTACCGCCGGGACGTAGCGATGAAATCGATCGCAAAGACTTGCGTATTACCCGACGCTTGGGTAGCGGTAACTTTGGTACCGTATTCTATGGCCAGTTTCTCGGTCAGGCTGAAGTGGCCATCAAAAAACTTAAACCGGGGACAATGTCACCGAAGGCTTTCCTCGAAGAAGCGGTAGTCATGAGACGCTGCCGACACGACAAACTGGTCAAACTGTATGGTGTCTGTTCCCGAGGACAGCCGTTGCTTATTGTTACCGAATATGTATGCAAAGGAGCACTACTCGACTATCTACGGGAATCGCCGGAAGGCAAACAACAGAAACTGCCCGAACTGGTCGATATGTGCGCACAAGTAGCCAGTGGTATGAGTTATCTGGAGTCCATCAAACTGGTTCATCGTGATTTGGCCGCCCGAAACATACTGGTTGGCAACAACAACGAAGTCAAAGTAGCCGACTTTGGATTGGCCCGAATTATCGAAGAGGAAGAATATCAGGCCCGACAGGGAGCCAAGTTTCCCATCAAATGGACGGCACCCGAGGCCGCTATTTACGGGAAATTCTCGACCAAATCGGATGTCTGGTCGTACGGTATATTGTTGTACGAAGTCATCACTTATGGACAGATACCATATGCAGGTATGTTATCAAACAACACATCATTATGTTATTAAATAATTTAGTTATTAAACAATACTATCATACAATTCCTATATTATACATGTAGTTCCTACTAATAAATTACTTTATAATTTATCAATAAATACATATTACAGAATATTACTGTATAATATACTGATATTTGTTTATATATATATATAATATACAGTTACTGTACATATACAGTAGTAAATGATATCATACAGTGTATTAAACAGTGTACGGAATTAATATAAAATAATTTATAAAATATTTTAGTTTATTTGCATATTTATTAAAACATTGTTTACAATTTCCACACACAAGTGTTGGTCTAATACTTTCAAATACAGTAATTTTCGTTTAAGTGTTGGGAAAGTTTTCATTTTCTCTCAATTAATGTGCGAAAAATATAGAAAATTTCCTTTATTTGTGAAAAATAATTTTCTTAGCTTATGGAAAATTTCCTACACATTCACATACACACACACACGTAGACATAAATTTACATAGATTTGGACCTTGAATATGTTAAAATTAAGCACACACATACACACTAACAATTTGCTATAACATATCCTGAAAGGGAAGCTATTTATTTATATTTACATATTTAGATAATAAGATTTAAATTATTTACTATAGAAATCAGTTAATATTTCTAAATTTATATAATATTTTTAATATAGTGTAGATAATACTTTATATTATTATACAGTAGTGTAAATGTATAGAAAACATGTATATAGTGCATGATTGTTTGTTTGTTTGTTTATTTATTTCCTAATTAATATTAATATTGATATTAATTTTTGTTTTAAAATAAAAAATTTCCTATTATTATGTATATATATATATATATATATATATATTATATATATACAGGTATGCAAAATAGAGAAGTATTGGAAAAGGTGTCTCAACATAAATACCGATTACCGAAACCGGTTAACATTGAATGTCCCGATTCTTACTACGATATGATGATGAAGTGTTGGGATGAAGTAGCAGATAATAGGCCAACATTTGAATATTTATATCATTTTTTTGAGGACTACTTTGTGGCCACTGAACGACAATATCATAAGGCCGATGATGATGATGATGACGATGATGATGGCAATGATGGCAATGATGATGATGATAATACTAATAATAATATGGACGTCTAAAATGTGGATCACTTATTATTATTATAATTTATAAATCAGTATATTTTTATTTATATATCTATCATAAATAGTAGTATTTATTTAAATATTAAATTAATATATAATTTTAATATAGTTTTATCAGTATATAATTTATATATTATATTCATTGAATATCAAGTCATGTTTATATGTTTGTTTGTAAACTGTAATGTATATGTTGTTTAAAAACATTTTTATCAATTTTTTGTTTTGTGTGCATGTACATTTTTACATATATTATATTAAATTATTATTAAAACAAAAAGATATGATAATTTAAATTGTTTGATTATTGTTGACCAAAAATTTGCATTATTTCATAGCTGTTTATTAACAACAAACTACTGATTATTATTATTATTATTATATGTCTTATAATAATAATATGTTTCGATTATTATTTACACTAAACAAAAATTATCTATAATAGGAAATGGAAAATATTATAGTAGTAGTAGTAGTAGTATTGTACTGTAGTAGGAGTGTGCTATTGATAAAGGAACGGTAGTCTGGAAATATTTGTATGCCAGACTCTAGTCAAAAATCACTATAAATAGAGAGGACCTATCGTCTCATTTTTGATTCATAACAAAACTTCAAAATCATAACTAAAGTTTTAATTCTTGATTATAACTTTTATAATAATAATAATAATAATAACTAATAGTTTTGATCTCTATTGTGTTTTCAAATACACACTCAAATAATTTGAAATTTTATTACTTATTTTTGTCTAACAATTGATTGATTCAACTATAAAAATAAATAATGAATTTCACCAAAAGTTTGATCATCTGTTTGGCAATCATTAGTCTATCATCAGTATTGATTGTGGTTGAAGTCAATGGCCAGTGGGGTTCACATTTTGGTAGTCGACGTAAACCGCACTGGGCTCAAGCTTATGGATTCAATCGACCCGTTCCTCATAAGCATAGCTGGTTTAATCATCATACAAGATTACATTCAAGACAATAAACATTTTAAAATTCATCATCATCAAGTTTTTAAACAATATATATATAAAAATACATTGTTTTTATTTATTATAAATATATATATGTAAATATTATTTATCTTTACTAAATATTATTGATAATATATAAAATGTTTGTTTGTTTGTTAATAATATATAACTAGAATTTTATATTATTATTTATTATATAATTATATAAATAGTTTATTATAAGCAAATATTGTAAATATTATATAAAACAAACACTTCTAGTGAGAAATAATACAACATAATAAAAAATATTGTACTAAAATATTTATGACTAATTAATTGATTAATTAATTTATTATTTTTTAAAAATAATTTATTATATTTTAACAAATATACTATTTAAAAATATACATGACAATACTATTTACTACATGTAATAATTAAATTCAAATGACTTTATTATTATTTTTTATATAACTTAAAATAATATTATTGATAATAACTCATTTATATTTATTTGTATTATATAAATATAATTTTTTTTAAAAACTAAATATATTATAATCTATATAAGATTATTGACTAAAACAAAACATAACAAAAAATAATTTAGTCATTTACACCCATCAAAAAAATATTTTAAATAATTATCGATAATTGTAATCTAATTTACTTTTTTTTCTAAGGATAAGCAGATCTGAATCCCGGCACCCCTTCATATAGTGTATTATGCATTAGTGAACAGTTAGTATTTCGGGCAACAATTTTATAGGGACTAACAATCGGAGGAGTAGTATAACAATTGGGCGAAACTCTAGCAAAAAAATTGCCACCACCTCCTCCTCCGTTGTTACCATTATTTTTATTTTTGTTGATATTGTTATGAAAATCAAACGATTTACTAATCTTAGAGTTATGACAATCTCTATACTGTTTGGTGGATGAGTTGTGCGTCGATGAACAGCCATCAGTGATGAGATCCTGTGCCCCGAAACTGGTAAATATTGTCGATAATGAGTCGGCATACGATCCCGATTTTGGTACCAGTATACCATACTTGTGTATAGTATGCAATAAGGGTACAAACAAACCCAATAGTACTAGAAAGCCATAGATATTCATTGATAAGGCAATTACGATATCCATGTATTTGACAGTAGTTTTGTTTCCCATATTCATTATGCTAACCATGGATGCAATGAATACCATTGTCGTCAACAGTGATACTATCATCAATTGGTTGCCATCTTTCTGGTTAAACGGTGTCGATCGGGCCGACCAACACATTATCAATAGTAGCGATAGTATTGTCGTTATATAGATTTGACTTCTTATAAAATCGTGTCCGTCATGGATGCAAAGTTTGGCCAAATTGGCCAAACTTTCATCACCGTTGGGTATCAATAGAAACTCATATCTAATAAAAAACAAGATTTTAATATTTATAAAATAATATAAAATATAATAATTAATTTTAAAAATGTCTTTTTTGTATATACTTCCACTTTTGATACTCGAGTGCCGTCTGAATGCCGACAATAAAGACTAATGTAAGCATTTGATTGAGACGACTGGTCCGACCGCCCAAACCAATGGACTTCTGGGCTCTGATATACATCGCTCTTATCAATAGCGACCCGAATAGTAGTGTCAGCGATATGTTATGTATGGTATGTCGGGTACAGCATAACAATGATGTCGGATAAAATACAAAACTATTTAAAAACAAAAATTGGTACAACTTATTAAAAATAATATGAATTTTTTAGTCTAGTAATTACAGTGAAGATCCCAAAAAATTGATGGTAATGGCTATCAGATGACAGGTTACCAGTGCCTGATTGGCTTTTCTTAGGGCTCCTTCGCACGATTTCATCAATAGAAATGTTTGTACATAAAGTGTGACCAGTATGCCCAGTATGGATGTACTCAATATCACCGACGACCACATTGTGCCCAACGAAGCCGTCAATCCATTAAACCGCTTGCGTGTCACATGATTTGTTGGTGTTGTGTCTTCTGAGGCACCACTACTGGATTGTTGTTGTTGTTGTTGACCATCACTACTACTACTACTACTGTTATTTAGTAGCGGCTGCGAGTGTTGTTCATCGGCAGCGGCGGCTAAAGTTCTCCTCTCAATTGGTGTCGTCGATGACGAGACCATATGATATTTAACTGATGACCGCATTAGACTCGACGGCGATATATTTATACGGCTAGCATTACCGGCCCAAACTGGCTGTCTATACAATGGTAATTGGTTTGACGACATTGAGCTCAATGTATTTGTAGGCCCATTACCGTCGCTGCCGCTTCTGCCAGCCTTAATCATAGATCTATGTCTTAGTCGAGCCCTATTGATCCGATTTGCTAGTATTGTGTGCATAAACTTCGAGTCAATAGTTAGTCCGGTGTCCAGACTATAGAAACCAAGACTTATGGTCTGCCAATTTGATGCCACAATCATAATCTGGTATTTCCAGGAAACCAGACTACGATTGTTATCGAAACTTAGCCGAACACCGTTAATGTCTTTGAGACCACTGTCGGTGACCACTGTATTCAAGTTGGTCAGACTGTCGGCCATCATTGACGTCAGATTGGCATTTGTCGACAGATGACAGTTGTTTAGCTTATTTCCTGTGCATTGTCTTTGATATAAATTCTGTATAAAAATTGATAGTTATATAAGATATTACAAAAAAATATATATTATATAAATTAGTCAATTACTCAATTAGTCTGAAAATTGTTTCATATGTTTTTATTATTTGTTACTTTAAAATAAAAACATTAATATGATGTTCATTACCTGATAAGCCTGGGTCAGTGCCCAAACAGCCTTAACCATAACGGAGACGCTCCGGGAATCGTGAGGAGTAGTCGATGATTGGTTGGCTTTTCTATATTCAGCGATTAACGGCTGTTGCTGACGATGATGATGACTGTCTCCTCCTTTTTCTTCTTTCATCTGATCCATCTTATTGACCATTGTTTCGAAATAATTATGATATTCACTTGACTTTTCCATTAGAGGCGATACCAGGAAAACGTTTTTCCTTAGCTTATCGTTACGCTTCAGCAGCTGTTCCTGCGATTGCTTTATTTGGACTGATATGTCATTGTTTGTGACAATTATATAAGAGTAATTGGATGCCTGTTGTTGTTGTTGTTGTTGGTGATAATGACTACTATCGGCTGCTGAACCACTATTTCTGCTCAAACTATTTAATAGATTCATGGCTTCACCAGAGCTCAAGTAAAATATGGTGTTGGCATCAGACAGTTCCTATCCATCCATCCATTCATTTATTTATTAAGACATCATATACCGTGTATACAAAAAAACAAATAGTGTGGTAACAAAAAATTGATATTATTGTTAATAAATAGCAAATATATCATGTCTTGTAAATCATAATTGATAAAAAATATTAAATATATATACTCTAATAAATACTTTAAATACTAAATACCATAGAAAGACAACTATTTATAACTAAATGGAGTTTTTAAAAAAAAAATTATCTATAATTACAATAAAAAACTATAATATTTCTATAATAAAAACCAATGTAATAAGAGGTTAAATATTAAAAATTATTAAAAATCGTAGCAAATAGTTATGCCTAAAAAAATACTTTATATTAAAAATGCTTTAAATTATATAAATTTTATATTAATAATACTGTATATACCTGTATATAAAATATATAAAACAATTTAACATAAATAAAACAAATTTTAAATTAAGAAACAAATTATTTAAAAAAATACTAACATCTCTTCGTCGATACCTTTTTTTAGGGAACTCTGTGTTTGTCTATAAATAGATAAATAAAAGTTTTTTAAATAAAAAAAATCAGTCAATTAATTTGAGACAAACATTAATTCAATTATTGCCAAATTGAATATAAAAAACAACAACAACAATAAACCAAATTGAATCAGGAAATGGTTTTATATATAAATATATAAATCTATTATATATACTGTATTTGTTTACCGAGCGATCAATTTTATTGAAATTATTATTATTATTATTATTGACAAAATTCAAGTCATTATAGCTTTTCAGTGACAATGAGTGCAAGTATTGGCTGTCAAAGGCTGGCTCTTCATCGGACACAACCAATGACATCGACCGCCAGTTAAGCTCTTTTACTAATGACATGACTGCCTGTTGAGAGATAATTGACAGATAAAATAATAATAATAAAAATGTGATAAAATATATTTATATATAAAGACAACAATTTGTTTTGTGTCTAAAATAGACACTTGCATTGGACAGGTATCTGATTGGTGGTGCAACTGTAAAAACATTAGCCATCGATGAATTGCCATCAATAGGAGGTCTTTCACCAGCACTGGTAGTAGTTGTTGTTGTTATGATGGGAACATTGAATGTCTTAAATAAGTCAAGCGATTTATCATATGTTGGTCCATCATATATAACACCTAATATTAGATTTATTATTTAATACAATTCAGATAACATTAAATAAAAGCAACAATAAATTTATTTTGGGCTAAAAATATCTCTCAAATTAGTTTGAGGTTAAAATCATTAATAAATAATTAAAATAAATAAATAAAACGATTCACTATTTCTAATCAAGTAACAAATTACAGTAATAATAAATATAGTAAAAAAATAAAATTGCTAATTTTCTTATTTTAAAAATATAAAACAATTATTAAATTTATTGAATGCTATATTTGATTAACTTATTCATTCAGTCATTCAATACGATATTGTAATATTAATTATGTTTAAAATCATTAACATTGAACACTAAAAATATATGCTATTAAATTAATTGTGATTATTTTAAATATAATAATCTAAAATTTGACATTTCATTAAACATAATTAATATAATATAAAAATACAAATAGCTAATTATTATAATATCATAAATAAGATTTTCAATAGTGTTAATTAATTAATTGATTTTTTGGAGTCAAAAAAAATTATATGAAAAATACAGTATATTAAAAAAATTTAATACATATAGATTATTAAAAGTTAATAAATATATAAAACAAACCGATTAGTGGTGGCGGCATAGTCTTGGCCTCGCGACAGACCCGATTGGTCGGCAAAAACGAGTGCGATATGAGTCGTACGGACTGCCGATGGGCCACATCTGCCAAACCGCACGTATCGTATATAAAGACACCGATTTCATCGAAACTGTTGACTCGTTGTTGTCGTTGATTATACATATGAAGTGTCCATACGGTGGCCATTGAATTGTAAATTCCGCTGACATCGATGACATCACATAATGAATCGGATGAACTGCTTGAATGGGCACCGATTAGTAGACCGATATTAACCTGTGTTATGCAATGGGGACGGATGTGTGGACAGTGTGTGGGTGGGTGGGTGTGGACGACAACAATAGAAAATATATTATTATTATTAGTTTTCAAACTTTCCTTATAATTTGCAAATGTTATTTACAATTTTTTTTACTGTATTATTATAGTATTGTTTTTTTTGTTATATTTAGACTATTTATATTATATATTTTTGTGATTTTGTAAAATTATAAATAATAACAAATAACTGATATTTTTCACTTTCAATGGCAAATACTAAACACATAAATATTGTTGACCTCATTTTTTAAAGAAATAATTATATAATTAAAAATTTATATAATTTTATAAATACTGTATATCTGTATTTATTGAATTTTATTTATTTATAACTGTCTATAACTATCAATTGACATATAAATAAAATATTTATGAAAAAATATATATAATTATCTAAAATTATAAGTAGTATACAGTTATATAACATTATTTTTTCTTATATATAGCTATTGTATTTTTATTAATAATAAAACAAAAACCATAAAAAAAACTTTTTTTTTGTATTGCAAGCCACATAAAAATCAATAATAATTTTAAAATAACTGTTTGTTATTAAAAAAATGAAATATTTTTTTATCCAACTTATTTCAAGCGTTATATTATTTTTCATATCTATTAAATAGTTTTTCAAATAATTACTATTAGTTTTCTATAAAAAAAACTTCATATCTATATAAACAATATTTTTAGTCATATTTTGAATATATATATATATAAATAATAATAAAAGATATATCAATTAATGTTTAAAAAAATTGTTATCAATTTTTAAAGATTTCTGCATTATGTAAATAATATAATAAAATATTGTTTAAATAAAAAATAAATAATATACAATAACTTTAAGATTTATAATGATAAATAAAAATATTAATGATAAAGATCGACATTATAATTTGTACAAAATGATGTCATTGATTTAATTTTAATGATATAATTTAAATATATATTAAATACAATAAGTTGTGTAATAATATTATTAAAAATATTTACGTCTAATGTACTAAAAAAATATTTTAATATATTATATACCTTATTGTGCAATAATATAATTATAGATTTATACAGTACTATATAAAAATTTAATTTGTTATAGACTAATGTATAGAAAAAAATACATACCTTTCCTTTATATATGATGGCACGTGGATCACATTGAACAACATTTATCCAAATGATTGCTAATATGATATCCAATAATAATAATGATTTTCGTCGACCACTCATTGTTTTCTAATCATATTATTAATACTATACTATAATATAATAATAATATACATTTAATAATAATAATAATAATAATAATATGACAATTAATTTGGAAATTATATTTTATATTTTGCAAAAAAATAATATACAATAATATAAACTATATATTGTGTACAACTAGCCATAAGTTTACGATATTTTTCTGTGTCATTTACATTGTCACTGAAAATATATTAATTTCTAAATAATAACTTATTGTTAATTTTTTTTTTTAAAAAAAAAACTTTTGTCAAAGTTTTCAATAATATTTACTATTTTTATTTAATACTTGCACACTTATCAAATAAATATATTATAGATTTAGTTATTAGTAAAATAATTTTTAGTCAATATTGCATAAAATCCTTGAATTCAAGTAATAATGTTTATTTTTATGAAATGCACGATTAGTATATAAATATATATATTACTAATTGGTTAGTATTGTTAAATTTATTTCAATACAAACTAGTATTTTTTGACAAAATAAATATTAATAATTAATCTGCACATATGTTTAGTATAGACAAAAAAATATCTGATTCAACTTAAAAAAAACTAAAATCTTTATCATAATTTCTAAACTATAAATAAATCACATAAATATTAAAATATAAGCAAATATAAGATAATTTTTAAATTCATTGATTGTTTTTATGTAATATTTCATTATGTATTATATAATACACTGAGTTTTATTCAATTAAAAAGATAAAAAACAATAATTGAAAATTTGAATAATGTTATCATCAAAAGTCAAACTTAAAAACATTAAATTTCAATTAGTATTATTTTCAAATATATTTGAAATTTATTTAAAAATCAAAAATATAACTTCAATTACTGTTTAATAAAAAACATACTACCATTATACTAAAAAATTATTTGGCAAACAATCGTCAATAACTATTAAATTACATTATATTATATAATTAAATTCAAATTTTTATAGTAAAATAAAATATAAATTTACTTACTTTAGTTTATGATGTAGCATATTATTTACATTATTTGATTTTTCAACTTTAGTAAGATAACAACTAAATAATTAAAAAATAAGTGTATTTAATTAAACAGTTTTACTAATTAAATAATAGTATTCAAAAAATAAATATTTTAACTTTAATAATATATAGAAATTGAAATCCAATTGCTGTTTAAACACAATTAATAATATTTAACATTTAAAAATGATCTCTCATGCAAAATTTACATTAATAATTAAAATTATTACTTTGTATGTTTATATTGATTATGTAATACTAAATGCAAACTACTGTATCAAATGTTTGCATTTAAATTCAAATTTGAAGTAACGTTTTATTAACATAATTAATATTATTTTATTATTATTATTATTATTATTATTACTTGTATTTTAATATATAAAACTAGGAAAATACTTTTATTGATAAAAATATATTTAAAAAATAAATAAACCCATACCCTATATTATAATATTTAATTAAAATGTTATTTATATAATAATATTATCTTAAATTTAATCAAAGATTTATTAGATATCGGTTTAGTATGCAATCAAGCATTAATTGATTTTATGAAATAATAGTATATATTATATTGACATATACATTATATAATTTTTTAATACTTACTATTATAAATATTAATAAAAATTAATTTTATTTATATATCTTAATATAATCGTTGCACTAGAATAATTCAATTCAATAGATTATAAGTTGTATTTCTATTATATAAATTTAGTTTTTTATCTATCGTTAAAAGTTGTTTTTAAGTTGAATATATTAGCACTAGTATTAAGATATAATTAATTATAAAATAAACAAAATTATATAATATTGAAGATATTTTATAATTAATAATAAAAAAAATTAAAACAGATCAATAACAGAGAGAAAGTTAATAGTGTAAATAATGTAAAAAGTATAAATAATATAATTTAAATCATTTAAACTATACTTACAAGTTATAATATTAATTAAATACTATAGAAATTAATGAAATATTATTAAGTTATTAATAAAAATAATAACAAACACTAGTTTTACGTTAAGTATAATACTTTAATTACATTATCAATTAAATGATATAAAGTATTAAATATTTTAGTTTTTAATACTTTAAAAAACAAATAATTTTAAATTATTAAATTTGAAATGTCTTAATAAGATAAGGAAATAGTTGTCACTGATTGTTGAATTGACTGTAAAATTAATTGATTATCAATATTATCAATAATTATAAAAAAATATTGTATATAATTATAAGTAGTAAGAATTTTTTTCATACTTATGTTTTAATATAATTTTGAGTTAATATTTTATATTTATTATAGTTAGTTATAATATGTTAAATTAATAGTAACAATAAAATATAATAATAATACTTACATAAAGTTTTGTGATAATCCCATTGATTAGAGACTAATAATATACAATTCAATCACAATTTTAATAGTAAGGTAATAAATACAGTATTTTATTTGATTAAAAGTTGGGGTATCAACAAAACAATGTAAATAATAAACACATTTGATTGATATATTTATTCAGCAATTTTTTGTATATGAATAGTCAATTTGTGAAAGTATTATAAATTTTTTTAAAAAATTAATGTCAAAATATATTTATTGTATTACACTGTAATATATAAACTTTTATTCTTAATTTTTAATAATAATTTTTTATTAATTAGAACAAAACATTATACAACACTTTTTTAATATAATAACTTAAATGAGAAATATATATATTATATATAGATATATATTTCATAACATTTATGAGAAAAACTTTCAAATAATAATAATAATAATGTAATAATAAATATACTAAAAAACAATTGTTATGTATGTGTGTGTATGTTATGGGAAAAAAGGTTTGTCTCGTAATGTACTGCACTTAAAGACACTGGTAATGAGCCTTCAAAGAGATGTCTCAACTACTACTGTATAATGTTGTTAAACACCACCTCCACTGTCATTAGCGGGCCGTCATATATATAACAAAACTATTGGTTTAGTCTATTGAGAGAGACTTCATGAAAGAAAACAACTGTATGTCTGAGTGAGTGTAAAAAGAGAGAGAGAAAAGAGAGAGAGAGAGAGAGAGAGAGAGAGAGAGAGAGAGCACAGGTATTAGATGTAACATTGAATAGGAACAGGTATTAGATGTAACATTGAATAGGAACAGGTATTACGGTTGGCATACATCACAAGCAGTCCATACCTGTGCTGTTTAAGACCATTAGAGAAAAACTACGACCACTTCTGCCTTTACTATTGTACTGTATATATACTGTACTAAGAAATCACATTTAAACTTATGGTCTCTCTCTCTCTCTCTCTCTCTCTCTCTCTCTCTCTCTCTCTCTGAGAAAATCACACTTTTTCTTCAATGACTGAATAAAAAAACTAAATACAATTTTTTTGCTGCTATTTTTGTGTTTTATTATTATTATTATTTTGAAATTTTCAACACAATATAGTCTACAGTAAATGCATAAAATAACAACAATAATAATAATAATTTAAAGAAAATATTTTATATGAGTATTATAATATATATTTTATTAATATTAATTTAATACTTTATTTTAATAAATAACAAATAATACAAAATACAATTAATAAAAATATTTTGTAAAGTTGGTATTAAAAAATTAATTACTTACAAATTGAAAATTTTTGTAAAATTATTTCGCCAATTTATATCTCCTTATACTAATTTTAATATTAAACTAAACTTAACATTATATAAAAAATTATTTTTTTCAAAATATAGAAATTAATTCAAATCATATTTAAACAAATTAAAAGATAAACATTTTTATATAGTGTTATCTAATTTAACAATAAATCTGTTAACAGTATGTATATTATACAATGTAAACTAAATTTTTTTAACATTTAAAAATAATTTTCTAAAATTATACTTTAGTTGTTTATAATATGAATATTGCTAATTATTTTTACATTTTAAATAATTGAAATATTAATTTGTTATGTATTATACAAACAATACTGTATATACTGAATATTAAACAAATTAATTAATTTTTTACTAACTTTCTAACTAATCTAATAATCATAAATTCAAATATTTGTATTGTTATAGTAATGATAAGTTTTAATTTAATTAATAATAAAAATATACCTAACCTGTTTAAAGCGTAACACTTGAAATTATAATTATATACTACTATATATAATATAATATTTAGTATAAGATATATACGGTATATACAGTAAGTGATAGCAAATAGCAAGTGTTATATAAAGTATAGTGTATTAGTAAATTAAGATAATGCTTTTAAAAATAGTGAAACTTTAATTTTAAATGACATTATAATTATTTTTAAAACTACTAGTTTCTCATAATCTTTATACACAGTGTATGATTTTTTTGCGACATTTACTTTCAGTTTTTTAAAGTTATTGTTATTGTCTTTGATATAATGATTTTGATTTTTTAAATGTATATATACACACAATTAAGTGGTAATTTAAATAATAATAATTTTCTAATTATTATTTTATTAAATAATGAACATTGAATTTAAAGTTCATTAATCTTATGCAGTAGTTTATGTATATACAGTATTATAAATATACATAAAAAATAAAATTACGATAATTTTATTTTAATGTGTAGTAGGCTAATTATTATTGTTTAAAGGTTACTTTCAATAAGTCAATTATTTATAAAAATATTAATTTATATTTTTCAAGTTTACTAAATTATATGATTATAATTTTAATGTTAAACAATTTTAAAATAAAATTTAGTACATAGCAACTAAAGAAATTTAAAAATTCAAAATTATTGAAAAATTATTGAAAAATTATTGTTATTATAAATCATCAAAAAATTAATGCTATATTATAAATTATGTTTTATATATTTTGATGTTAACTATATTAATTATTAATAAAATATTGTTTATTAGGATATAAATTTGTGTAATTTTAGTTAGCAAATAATTTATTTTATTGTTGTTGTTTTTTAATGTTAAAAAAATATTTTATTTTTTTATAACATTTCTATTATTATTGATGTTGTTATTGAATGGTCATTGAAATCAGTGAAGTGTGTATCAAATCGAAAGCGATTACAATTTAATACTTAACTTTTTTCATCAAAAAAAAACACAATTTTCTTTTAACTTTATTTTTCTCAAACTTTTATTTATTTTTTTGGTTGAGTTTATGTTTTTCTAGAGTTTTAAGTTGAATGTACTCTCAGTTGGAAAGTTATGTTAGAGTTCGCTAACACTTTGCGCGGTGTCAATGAAATTACATAACTGTTTATTATTATTATTATTATAACAGTTATGGTGTCTGCTATTATGTCTGTTATTATGTTTGGTCTAAATATATAAATACTGTGGCAATCACTGGCCATTTATATTATATTTTCACAATTTTTCTACAATAATAAGTTAATTATATTAAATTTTGAAATGCTTTTTTGAATGTTATATTTGCAAATTCTAATACAATTATACTAAACAAACAAAAATATTTATCTATTTAGTTGTTCATATATTATATTATTAGGTCATATAAATTTTTAAAAACACACATAAATTGAGATATAATATAAACTTAAATTTTATTATATTGATATTTAGTGAAACTATTTTCTTTAAACAAATATTTTTTATAAATTTATAACAAACATGTGAAATATAGGGTATTACAAATATATATATATATATGTAATTATTATACAAATATTTATATAAATTAATATACATAATGTCTTTCAGATTTAAAATGTTTAATTAAAAATTATTGGGATAAAAACATAATTGTTAAAAAATTAATGAATATAAATAAATAAAAAGTGATTGTTAAAAAATTAATAATATGATAGTTATTTATAAAAATATAACATTACCGTTAAAAATAACATTAAAAAAGTCATTTAAACTTAATCGACCAAAATTGGTTAGACATGTGATTAAGTATCATATTGTTAGTGTTAAGCACATCCCGTGGACACCAAATCATTTTATCATTACTAATATACTTTAAAACTAATTGCAAATGTCTTTCAAATAGTCGACAATTGGCAGACATCGGACCCAACATTTGTTTTAAATAATTCAAAGGACTATTAGTTTGTGTCAACTTTACCGTCAAATTATAAATTAATGGTCCGTTAAGACACATATCTGGACAACCCATCGGTACGGGACTACCGAATAATCGGTTAACACATCTTATAGATGTTAGACAATCTTGAAATTCATTGAAATAGTGAACAATTCGTGAAATGAACGGATAATTTCTATTAATCAATAAACTATTCAATGAATTGAGAAAATGTTTTTGTTTTCTGTCTACTAATGATATTAATTTGAATGATTGATAGTTATCGTAGTCGTCATCGTAGTTGAAATGACCAGTAAATAGGATACAAATCATTAGTGAATACAAAAATTCATACCATATTCGGTGTGTTTCCTAACCAATACCTGATGACAATCATCAGATAGACTCCCTCTTGGTTTTGTAGATCAGATATTTTTATTGTATTTTTAATCATAAATTTAACCACATTTTTGTCATCAAATAACATCTCTGAAATCAAGTTTGTCTTCTCATTGATTGTCAAATTAATGATTTGATTCAATTGTGGTAATTGGTGACCACTATTATTAGTTAAGACCGTTATTGATTGCATTGATAATACTTTATACTCGGATTCATATCTATCATAAACTTCAACTGTTTTTACATCGTTATCGTTATCTTCTCTCATTAAACCAATCAAATACTGTCTTAAACGCCAACAACACTTATAAGTCGATGGCAATGATAGATCTTCGACACGTGGCGAGAGAAACACGCGTTTTGCTTGACTAACATTTATAAGCATCGGATTTAAACGACTTTTGCACATATCTATAGCAAACCATTGAGGAAATGCCAGTACTTTTTGCATTACATGTGCAGCCAATTTGGACCAATTGAATGAATTGGTTGCCCTATCATAGCTGATACCATCACTACAATTGTCAATATTATAGGATTCTATGGATATCTTCAGCAATTCAATGACATTATTCATAGATTTTTCAATCAGTACGGACTCAATATAGTCTATAACCTGTTGTCGGGTCAGTCCTCTCAGCCAATTCAATATTTTAATCATTTGTTGGTGTCTTTCAGATATATTTATCCTATTATTTCTTTGGCCATTATTAACATCGGGTATCGTATCGACAATAGGCCTAATATTATCGTATTCAATGTAATCGTTGCCCATTAGTGTACTGAACACCGGTAGACAATCACTGGTAAGTCCAGGAAAACATTTAACAAAATTATCAATTGTATACAATTTTGTGTCCAAATATTTGTAAGTTTCACGATTTCGCCAATTGTTTTGGTCTTCATATTGTCTGACTTGCATTGAATTCATGAGATAATCACTAAGTATAACACCGCCGATGATATTGTAGACAAAAAAATCGCTGTCACCCGACAGTATTGGACAGTTAAGTTGGTTGGCCAGTGCAGCCGCATAAGTGTCAGCCTCGTACAAGATCTGACAATAGGCAACTCCTAACTGATCCATCATCTGCTCCAACACTGGTCTACACAATGTGGGATGTATATCAATATTGCCATCAAAATGATTACCATTTGATATATCGATGGCATGTCTAAGATTTTTTGTGAATTTTTTCAATAATTTCACTATCTTTTGATCTGACGGATCAATACCGCCATCCATGACAACCACTGGTCGTATCCTACACTTAGCTAATGTAGTAAAAAATCGGTGAACATTACCAGCAAAACGACTATAGTTTCCGCCGTATATGTTGTCTTTTGTCTGATTGTTTGAATTTTCGTATAATCTATAGAGAAAATTGTTGCCATCGATCACCAAATAGGTGTCGTGTAAATGATATCCAGTAATCATACGGTCTTTATTGGCCTTAATAAAGCTCGTCAATCCCTGGACACCCATATTTTAGGTATTCATAATCTGTAAGTCATATAATACTAGTAAGTAAATGTATGTCCAGTTTGGATCGCTAATTAAATTACACAATAATTAATTACTGAAAAAAATCAAACTATTCTGATATTATTTGACATCACTTTATTAATTAATACAGTATTTGCTAAATTCAAGGCTAATAACATATTAATATTATTTTATTAAATGTTTTTTTTAAATAAATAATTACAGTATTTGATAGTCAATTATTGAATTTCAATATTAACCCTACATTAAAAACAATTAGTATATTATTAAATAAAAAATACTATGAATACTAATACTTATGATAACTAATAAACTTAATTAAATATTCCATAGTATTGAGTAAACTATTAAAATATAAAATTATATTTTGTATTAAATTTATATAAATGCGATGAGAAGTTAGGGATGCAGAGGTCGACCAACGCTTATCCCGATATAAATAAATATAATATATAATATGTGCCAAAATTAACTTCAAGTTTACAACAATTTTCAGTTATAAAAAGTTATAAATAGTATATATTTAATAAATAATCAAGTCAAATTAAGTCAATTTCAAGAAATTAATTTGCTTTTGTCAATATTTTCTATCAAAACTATTAAATTATTGAAATTCAATATTAATTATGTTATACTAAATAATTTTAATAACTAAAAATTAAATTTAAACATTTATTAGTATAGCTTTAAATTAATATTTATTTATATTTATATAAATTTTATTTGTAAATGTATATGAAATGTAAATGAATATTTGATTTATTCAATAATTTGATTTAGTTAGCTAATTAATTAAAGCATATAAAAGTTATTTGTATTTAGTATTAATATTGTTTTAAACATTTAAAATTAATTATAATTAAAACTGTAATTAAATAAAACTTTTGTTTATTGAATTTATTAAGTTTATATTAGTTAATTTTAACAAAAAATTATACATGTTAAAATACTATTAAATAGTTAGTAAAAAGCAATTATTAAATAATCATCAATAAATTGTTATATAAAAGATAAGCATTTAAAAAATAATATAAATTAATATATATATATATTTTGATCAAAACGATTGATAATTATATATATCATATCTAATGACATTAAATAGCAGGAAATAAAAAATACGAAATATTAATATTAACATATAATTTATAAATTTTATAATAAAATTGACATTATAAAACAAAATCATTTTTAATATAAAAAAACAATACTGATTTTTTGTTTTGTTTTTAAAAAACATTACTGAAATACTTGATGAGATTTATAAATTACATTAAATACTGTAGTAATTTTATCATTAAAAAAATTAATTATAATAATTAAAATGCCATAAAAGTTAGCTATCATTTATAATAATATTAATATTATTTTTTTTAAACAATGGATACAAACATACGGACACTCAATGATAATGAAAATGTTAAAAATAATAGACTTAAATACAGTTTTAAAAAAAACTTAATGACGACTTTCGGTGGTACCGTTATATACCTGTCGGTGTCGGTCATCATCGTTGCCATTGTTGTCGTTGTCGTCATCATCGTTGTCATCGCCTTCGTCGTGACCGAGACTGCCATTTGCCGCCGCAGTATTGTTTCGTTGATTGTCGACATTGATTACTAAACTATTGATTTCATTGGGATTGGCTGTCATTGAAACGGATCTGATTTTATCGCTGACTTTGTTGCGACCAGTCTTCTTGTTGTTGGACTCAGACGCCGACGATGTGTGTCTTTTCTTTAGATATATAAAACCAGTGACAAAGACGGCAATGAATAATAGGACAACAACCAGTGCCACAATCCACGGTGTCTTTGATGAACTGTCATCCGCACCGTTATCTTCATCAGCTATCGGTGACCTGTTGTCGTTGTCGTTGTCCTGACCTCTAGTTTTGCCCTCCTGTCGATTACTGTCATCTGATGGTACAATAGCTGGCGGTACATAAGGTGCATATGTTGGCGGCGGTTCCCGTGTCGTAGTAGTGGTAGGTTTTGGCCATTTATTTAAACCCGTGTCTATTGTCGATATATTGCTGCTAGACTTGAGTTCACCCGATTGGGCGACCACTCGGATCTCGTAGAACTTGTCAAACTCCAAGTCCACTAAATCGATGTGTTGGTTGGACTCATCCATACCTTCCGGCACAGTGTTTGTCCATTCATCTATCGAGTCGATCCCTTTCCTTCGATACTCAATATATATAAGACGTCCCGGATTGTCATTAGTCCAGTTTGGTTCATAAGTAATGCGAATCACTGCCCGATTGTGGCGATCCGTATGTCTTGTCCACATGAATGCCGGTGTATCGGGATATACATCAACCGGCATCGAAACGGTTATATTGTTAGAAACGGGTCCATCAAAAGCACCGTTAAATGCCTGCACTTGAACTGTATTATTGACGGCCGGCTTAAAGATAGTGATCAATGCTTTTGTAGTATTTGCCGACACTATCTGTTCACTTCTGTTTTCATAGCTGTCTGTCCAAACTTGAAGTTTATAACCTGTATTTGTTTAACAATAATTGTTATTTATATTTTTATATTTATAGATAATTTATTTCATATTATTTTTGTATTTATTCATATTGTATTAAAGATTATTATAAATTTGTTAAGTCTAAAAGTTATATTTACAAATATAATCAATACATATAATACAATATATTAGTAAATATTGATAATTATGAAAAATAATAATAAATTTTATACTATTTATTATTATATAATTTGTTTTACCATCATAAAAGTTGGCATAATTTTTTTTAGATTAAATTGTTAATAATAATTATTTATTATTACAAATTAACTACATTGTATATTATTTTTCTCTATGAATAGATACAGTAAATAAAAAATAACAAAATTATGATTATCGGTACTGATATTGTTATATAATTACAGAAAAATATTAATATTAACAGTTACTACAGCTTTATAATGATAGCATTAAAAATCTCTAATTAATAAATTAGTAATAATAATAATATAGAAATATTCTAATAATTTCATAGTAAAAAAATTAAAGTATGTCTATTAAACATTGAAACTATGATTAGTTTATCAGAAAATAATAAATTATTTATTGTTTGTTCCGGTGATATACAGTATAATAGCAATGAATTGATTTCAGCACTAATTTGATAAAAACAAACAACTATTTTTTGTACTGTATTTGTATGTTTTATTTTAAAAAGTTTAAAATATATTAATATATCAAATATTTTAAATTTCAACGAAAAATATTTTATTTGATCGATAAAAAACACAAATATAAATTGTTGTTATAAAAATGTTCAATAAAATAAAAAACAAACAAAACTCTATTTATATAATAAATCAATAAAATGATATCTCTATTATTTCTCTCTTTCTCTCTCTCTCTCTCTCTCTCTCTCTCTCTTTCTCTCTCTCTTTCTCTCTCTTTCTCTCTCTCCCATAAATGCAAATATCAATAACCTAACAATTTTGAGCACTTATTATTATTATTATTATTAATTTGATTTACATCTAATATATATATATATATAAGTTTTAATATCTTATATATTATAATAAAGTATATCATAATAAATCATAATAGTTTGAAGATTTAGTGTAAATAATATTGTAAAATGAATAAAATGATAAAACTAACTGACCTTTGAAATGGCCGTTGAGTGTGAGGGGTGGGACCGGTTGCCAACTCATGTGAGCACTTCGGCCGTCAATAATATCGACGAGCCGTAAGTCTTTGGGCGCCTCAGATGGCATATCTTCGTCGGAATAGCCGATCACTTCTCGGGCCTCTTGTGTTGCTTTTCCAAGACTGTTATACGCCTCGACTTTGATCCGGTATGGCCTGAGTTTTGGTAGATTTTCAACGATCAGTCGACTTTGTTGCCAGTCTAGTACGTGTTTGATGTGCCAGTCGGCTGTAGGCATGTCATCCTGTTTATAATAGACTGTATAGAAAAATCCCGGAGCGTTCTGTTCTCTGGGCGGCATTGGTGTCCACGAAATGACCAAATTTTTCGGTCCATTACCTCTGCCGTACACATTGTCGGGATTCTTGTGCGGCACGTCTTCCTCAGTCTGACACCAATCGGATGGTAGCGAAGCATTGCTGGCGCCGGCATTGTTGACGGCAATGACCCGAAACGTGTAATTAGTCCACGGATTCAATATGAGTGGCACATTGTCGTCATGAATGGGATGCAAAAATGGATAATTGATCCATTCGTTTGGTGACCAACTGGTCATATACTGTATACGAAACTCTTTGACCGGCGACTGTCCGGTTGATGTCCACGTAAGTCTAGTTGATCGCCGATGACAACCCATCGATAGTATCTCCGGAGCTGACGGCACCTCAACCGACATCATTGACACCAACTTTGCTACCATTAAGACGACAGTAGTTGTCAACAAAATTAGTCTCATTGTGTGTTTGATATATATATATGTCCAACAAAATGACTAGTTTTTTGTTTTTTTAATTAATTACATTAACTATAATACTGTAGTATTATTAGTAATATTTATTACAGTAAATGATTGAATCAATGTTTTATAAATAATGTTAAACTTTTTATATTCACCACACAATTAATAAATTAATTATTAGTCAATTTGAATTAAATGTATTATAATTTTTTTAGAAATATATATATAATAATAGAAAAAAAATTGATTTCTTCGTTAAATAAATGAGTAATCAATTTGTTTGACAAACCGTTTTTCTCGTCTCTTTTTTTCTCCTTATCTCTAATATTGAGAACAATATTATGTATATATTATATGATGAATAAGTATTGAAATGTGTGGGACAACCATATTATCACCAATTGTTTCTATGGTTAATATCAGCAATAAATTTTCAACTATTTGTTTGACTTAACAAACAAATATCTAATAACTTATGACAATATTATTAGTCACTTATTATTATATGTCTAATAAAAAAAATCTATTGTTTATAAAAGTAAAGTAATATTTTTAGAAAATCGTTTAAATATGTAATTATTACAAACATAAATATTTAGATATTAAATATATTTTAATAAAATTTATAGATTAAATATAATTAATTAATTATTAAATAGTTAAAATTAATATATTATACTTGATTTTTTTTGTATTGCTTTAAAATGAAATACAGTAATATATTATATCATATAATTTATATGTAAATAGTAATACAGATATTATTGTTAATAATTACTAATACTATATGACTAAATAAATTTTTTGACATATTATAGTTTATGAAAGATAAAAAAATAAAATAAATATGAATTTAACAAATAATTATTCTAATTAAAATAAAATTGATAATAAAAAATTTATATATTGTAATCTAATATTTTAAAATAATAATATTGATAGTATTGAAAAAATAGTAAGTAAATAATTTTAATATATAAAATTAAAATAAAATAAGAAATTAATTAAATAAACTGAAAATTAAAATAAATATTATTCTAAATATAAATATATACATACCAGTATTTAAAATAATACTTTTCATAAAATATTAAATTTAATATAAAATTATATAAACTGTGAGAAATTTAATAAATAAAAAAAATTTAATAATATAAATGTTATAGAAAATAACTATCGATTTATTTTTAATATCAAATATAAATATTTGGAATTTGAAATTTTATGTAAAATTGTAGAAATAAAAAAATAGTTAAAATATACTGTATTTTAACAAATTGATGTGAAAATATGAGATATACAAATATGATAGTATTTATGTATTGTTTTAATACTATATAGTTTAAAATCAAATAAAAAACCAGTTAAGAATGCTAGAAAGCATTTTCAGAAAAAAAACTAGAATGCCTTAAATAGGTTGAAAACCATTACTTTGTATAATTGTAGCGTCTATATAGTAACATATATAAATTTAAAAACTGGTCAAATATACATAATTTATATATTGTCATGTAGGGTTAATTAAGAAGGTTAGTAATGGTAATGACTGGTTATAGTTAGATGTTAGTTATGGCTATAATACACGCTCGCGCTGACTCAGATTAAGATCTGACACCGCAGTCACATCTGACACCAGAGTCACATCTGACACCATAGTCAGCTCTGCACCGTAGTCAGATCTGACTCAGATTCAGATCTGACACCACAGTCACATCTGACACCACAGTCACATCTGACACCAAAGTCACATCTGACACCGCAGTCACATCTGACACCGAAGTCACATCTGACTCAGATTCAGATCTGACACCGCAGTCACATCTGACACCGAAGTCACATCTGACTCAGATTCAGATCTGACAACACAGTCACATTTGACACCACAGTCACATCTGACACCGAAGTCACATCTGACTCAGATTCAGATCTGACACCACAGTCACATCTGACACCACTGTCACATCTGACACCAAAGTCACATCTGACACCGGAGTCACATCTGACACCGCAGTCACATCTGACACCGAAGTCACATCTGACTCAGATTCAGATCTGACACCGCAGTCACATCTGACACCGAAGTCACATCTGACTCAGATTCAGATCTGACACCGCAGTCACATCTGACACCGAAGTCACATCTGACTCAGATTCAGATCTGACACCGCAGTCACATCTGACACCGAAGTCACATCTGACTCAGATTCAGATCTGACACCACAGTAACATCTGACACCACAGTCACATCTGACACCGAAGTCACATCTGACTCAGATTCAGATCTGACACCACAGTCACATCTGACACCACAGTCACATCTGACACCAAAGTCACATCTGATACCGGAGTCACATCTGACTCAGATTCAGATCTGACACCACAGTCACATCTGACACCACAGTCACATCTGACACCAAAGTCACATCTGACACCGAAGTCACATCTGACTCAGATTCAGATCTGACACCGCAGTCACATCTGACACCGAAGTCACATCTGACACCGGAGTCACATCTGACACCGCAGTCACATCTGACACCGAAGTCACATCTGACTCAGATTCAGATCTGACTCAGATTCACATCTGACACCGCAGTCACATCTGACACCGAAGTCACATCTGACTCAGATTCAGATCTGACACCGCAGTCACATCTGACACCACAGTCACATCTGACACCGAAGTCACATCTGACTCAGATTCAGATCTGACACCGCAGTCACATCTGACATCGAAGACATCTGAAACCGAAGTCACATCTGACACCGGAGTCACATCTGACACCGCAGTCACATCTGACACCGAAGTCACATCTGACTCAGATTCAGATCTGACACCGCAGTCACATCTGACACCGAAGTCACATCTGAATCAGATTCAGATCTGACACCGCAGTCACATCTGACTCAGATTCAGATCTGACACAAGAGTCACATCTGACACCATAGTCACATCTGACACCATAGTCACAG